AGCAGGAAGGTTGGGCCTCTTCTGGTTCTTGCTTCCCCACTGTGCTGGATGGGGCCAGAGCCTTTGGGCTCCCACAGCTCAGGGCAGGGGAGTTCCCCCTGGTACTCTGGCTCTGAACAGTGGTCCCCAGGGCAGGTGGCAGGTGCAGCAGCCTGTCCTGCTCAGCCTCTGTTGGGAAAGCTGCAGAACAGAGATGGCCCTCTTAAGCTGTACAGGCACCTGGAAAAGCTGCTGCTTCAGCCAGTGCAGAGGGAGGCAGCAGATCCCTCTGAGGGCCCAAGGAAGCTCCACATACAGCAGGGGACCAGGGCATCTCTATCCAATGCAATCGCCTTTCCATTCATCAAGCACAAGCTCCAAGGGAAAACACAACTCCAATACTTTACTTTCCTCTTTAGATAGAAAAAAACAGCCCTAAAATATCTTTACAACAAACTGTCATACCAGGAAGAACAGGACAGGCAAATCTGATATAACCCATGCTATGCAATGTTGTCAGCATGCAGAGAGAAAGCAAATTCTTTGCTAAGAATGGATCCTCACTAGGACACTGTAAGAGGTCTCTCACAAACCAAGCACATAAACTGCTCAGTTTCTGCCAAAGCCTCTTCCACAGCTCAGTTGCTTCTGAAGGTATTTGTGAGCAGATGCTGAAAGCAGTCACAAGTGTCAGCTCTACCCTCACTGTAACAGATTATTCTTTGCTCTGAGCTAATCCAAAATCTGGGAGCCAAGATATCCTGCACTGAAACACCTTCCAGTGAAAGGGTTCAAAGATCAAGTGTAAACATATAAACTATAAACACAGTACATCCCAGACCATACGTTTCATTTTAACCTGGATCCTACCTTGCTGCTGGGCACAAATGCTGTTGATGTAGATTCATACACACCTCATCTTGGTGCTGCTGTTCTTAACTCCCTTCTCCAACACGACTCTTCCATCTAAGGGAAGAAAGAAGGGCTGGGCTTCTCTGTAATACCCTGTCCTCCACTGAGCCCAGCTCATAGCAGAGTCCATCTTTTCTCCCTGGTAACCCAAGACAGGTGGTGCCACAATCCTCTCCTATTGCCTTGATGAAGAGCTGATCTCTTTACACACTCGGTCTTTCCCCTCCTCCTTTTCCACACACACTGCACCTCCACCCTGTGCTTGCTGGTTCTCTGTGCTGCTCTGATGATTGTGGAGGTCCTCTACTTGTTCCACAGAGAAGATGATGTTTGGCTGGGGGACACAGCACAAGACTTGGCTGCTGACTGTTACAAGATTCAGTGGATTAAAGATATGTCCAACTATGCCAAACAGAAGGCCAGCTCTAGCACATGGTTCTCATTATCTCCTCTGGGAGCCAGCGGGGAAAAGTCAAATCCTAGTTTGGGTCCTGATTTTTCGGCTGAGGTTTTTGATGCAGTCATTGAAATTAACATTACTCCAGACCACAGCAGGACAGACTCAGTAGCACACAAGGTAACTGGTACATGTGGCCAGTGGCTCTGCAGCCTGGCTAGTTGCCTCGAGTTTTTCTTTCCCATGCTGTATGGAGAAGATGGTGGGGTCTGTTTCTGCAGTCAGAGGTATTGCACCATGTAGGATCCAAACCAGATGGCAAACCACACACCAGCTCTGAGCTGAGAGCACTTTGTACAATGGTACCTAACAACTGACACAACCATGGGGGAAACCATAAAAGCTTTGCTGGCCAACAGCAAATAACTAACTGAGCAAGCTGGCGGCAGAGCACTCTGGGAGATGTCTCCTGTCTGACAAATGCCACCTGCCTTCCTGGTTCAGCTAAGCCAGTTCAGCCTCTCACATTCAGCTTCTTCCCCACGGGGCCAGGACTCGGACATGATGCTCTCTGGTCCAGCACAAACACAGCAGGTGCTCTACAGCCCTTGCCCAGGATTTCTCTCTCACAAGCACCCAGAACCTCTCCAGGTGTTTCTTGTTGATATTGCCACCCCAAGCACACGATTTTTAGCAGGATTCCATTTATTCTGGAGACCTGTTAGATAAATAACTTTGTTGTTGAATGCTTCCTAATGTGCAGATTTAGCAAGTGCACATTCTCCTCCAACACCCAGATCATTAAAGGAGGTGCTGAGCAAAACCAGACCCACAACAGATGTCCCTGAATTTTACTCAACAGACCCTTTCCTTTTTAACAGTGAACTGTGGATAACTGTCTGCGTATAATTACCTAGTGGGTTTTGTACCTACCCAAATCCCATCTAGGAGATCATTAAAGGAAGTGCTGAGCAAAACCAGATGTCCCTGAATTTCACTCAACAGACCTTTCCTTTTCAACAGTGAACTGTGGATAACTGTCTGGGTATAATTACCTAGTGGGTTTTGTACCTACCCAAATCCCATCTAGATCATTCTTAAAAGCCACTTGCCTGGCAGCCGAAGCTCTCCGTCACCATGCCCTTACCCTATGAGAGAGGAAAATTGAATTATTTTGACCAGATTCTGTTCTTGATGTGTTCACATAGCTCCTGCTCATCTCCATTGTTTATACATAGTGAGATTATTTTATCCAGTTTTTTATTTGTTTGGAATTTTTGTTTTTGTTTTGGTTTGTTTGGGGTTTTTTGTTTGGCTTGGTTTTGTGTTTTTTTGCTGTTGTTGTGGGGTTTTGTTTGTTTGTTTTTTGTGGGTTTTGGGGTTTTTTGGTGTTTTTTTTTTTGGGGTTTTTTTGTGGAGTTTTCTGGTTTTTTAGCGGGGTTTTTTGTTTGTTTGCAGGGGTTTTTTATGGTTTTTTTGAGGGGGGATTTAACTGCGAGCAGTTCCTGGCTTTTGGCCCCAGTCCCCATTTTGACTGTTTTTTTGGCAGGGTTTTTTGTTTGTTTGCAGAGGTTTTTTATGGTTTTTTTGAGGGGGGATTTAACTGCAAGCAGTTCCTGGCTTTTGGCCCCAGTCCCCATTTTGAAGAGGGGGAAATTCTGTGGGAATTCTCATAGATTAGTCCCCAGTGACTAATTCTGGGATAGCTTTGTGCTAGGTTCACCACAGCGAGAGGGTCTGAAAAACTCCCGTTTGTCTAAATAGTCCTCCTTTCACTCTTCTCTCTCTAGGCCAGACTTTAGCCCCCATCACCCGCACGCCTGTGCTCCGCACTGCCCCGCAGCTGTGTCTGAAGGCTCACGCAGAGCGCCCCGACGCTGGGTGCCCTCAGCAGCCGCCCTCGGCTCTTCGCTCAGCGCAGAGCAGCGCGGCGCCGTCCGCGCTCCGTGTCCCGCTCGCACAGCGCAGGACGCTCCCGCTCCTCTTGCTCGCTGCGTGCTGCCAACAGAGCCCCGAAGCTCGGGGTGGGCGCGACCTCCGGGCCGCTGCTGTACGGTGAAAGCTGGGCTCAGACAGGTCCACAGCCGTGAGGGCGGCTCTAACCTCGGTCCCAGTCCCGTTCAAGGCCCGCTGCCGTCGCGGTGCGGGCCCGGCCCGACAGGACCCGGCCCGACAGGACCCGGCCCGACAGGACCCGGCCCTCAGCGCGAGCAGCGCCCTCAGCGCGGGCGGCGCCGCCGCCTAGCGGCGGGCTGCAGGGCGTGCCGCGCTCCGGCCGTGACACCGAGAGAGGCCCGGGCAGAGCTCCCCACGGCCGTGACACCGAGAGAGCCCCGGGGAGAGCTCCGCACCGCCGTGACACCGAGAGAGCCCCGGGGTAAAACCGCCCCCCTCGCCCCCAGCCCGCTCCCCAGCCCAGCTTCTCCGGCTCTCGCAACCTGGAGCTCCATCTACTCCCGGCTCAGGGGGACCTCATCGCTCCCTACAACTGCCTGAAGGGAGGATACAGGGAAGACTGGGGACTGGTCTCTTTTGCTCTGCCCACAGAGAGGACAAGAGGAAATGGCCTAGAGCTGAGACAGGGGAGACTCAGATTAGATATTAGACAGGTTTTCACTGTTAAGGTGGTCAGGCATTGGAACAGGTTGCCCAGGAATGTGGTTCCCAGAGGTGTTTAAGAGGCATCAGAATCTGGTGCTGCTGTAATGTGATTTAGTGGTTGAGGGGTCACAGTGGTAGTGCTGGGTGGATGCTTGGACTTGATCTCAAAGGTCTCTTCCAGCCCTGATGATTCTGTGTTTCTGTGTGTTGGCACAGATGCTGGACACAGCTGAGGGAGCATGCCTGGGGCACCTGTAGAAGTTAGGAGAGCTGGCAGCTGCTTCACCAGGACCACAGCTGTGCCCCAAGCAGCACTATGCAGGAGAGAGACCACCCCATTACTCCCATATGTTCACCATGCCCTCTCTAAAGAGACCTTAATGTGGAAACCAGTTTATTCCTATTCCCCAACCCTTCAGCTGGCTGCTCCTGCCTTTCCCACAGCTGGGGAAGGTGCTGTTATGCCACTTTCCAACATGTTGCAAAGTCCAGAACAGGAGCCCTTGGCAACAGCCTTGTCCAGCCTTCCCTGACATTTCCCAGCATTGGAAGTGCAGCCCACTGCCATGTGGCAACTTTCCAGTCCACTGCTTCAAAAGGTCAAAACTCATTCACCAGGTAGGAGCCAACACCCACCCAGAGGCTCAGACCCTCAAACTCAGGCTCTGAGGCACATCTTGGCTTCATGAAGCACAGTGACATGCTCATTTCAGATGGTAAAACAACAGTCTGATTTTTTTAATCATCTCTCTCTCACTTCTAGATCCCTGGTGGTGAGCAAAGGGCGCTCAGGCAGCATGACCAGCTGATGACTGCAGAAGGGGGAAGCACAGAGGGACAGCCTGCTGGACACATCACTAACCCTCAGGAAGACACAGTATCAAGGTAGAGAAGGCAGCATTCCTCTCACAGTTCTGTACAGAGGTCAGGTATGAAAAAGGCATCAAAGAAATCAATCAATCCATACATGACAGTATTTATTAGTTGTTTAACACATCACCCAGTGGCAGATGACAGAGTTGACTCTGGGACCCTTCTGTCCCCAGCCCATGAGATTGGCCATGGACTGGAACCATTGGCAATGCCTGACACACTGCAGGACAGACAGGACAGAGCTGGACCCTGCTCATCTTTTAGGGTTTGAGGCAGTAGCTAGTCAAATTAAATAGGTGGGTTAATATTGTACAAGAAGCACACCACAGGTAACAGCCATTAAAGTTCATGGGATTCAGTTCCTTGCATCACAGAGGAGAAGAGAGAGCCCAAGAGAGATCCCTTCCCTACAAAACCTTAAAAAAAGAGCAGGAGTTTTCCATTTCAGTGCTGTTCCCACCAGCAATCTATTAGGGCTTCCCTGCAGAGTAGCAGCTTTGGGGAAGAACAGGTTTGAGCTCTGTTCTTCCCCAAAACTGGAGACCATGGAGAGGACAGTACTGCTGTCCTCACTGCTGTGAGAGGAGTTTCCCTACCTTTTTTCCAAGGAGAGTTTTGGTGCATGCAGGATTCTATCAGTCCCCAGGAAGGAAGTGAGGCACAAAGCAAACCCAAGTGATGCAAAGAAGGAAAAGCAGAACCACAGCCCTGAGGTTTTCAGACCCCAGCCTCTTCCCCTTTCTCCTGTTACCAGCCTGCCACAACCTGCACCTCACTCTGGCATGCCACCCACTGTGAGGCAGATACACCAAAGGCCAATGTGCAAGTCACTCTGAAGGCTGTTACCCACAGTGATCTCTTCCTAAACCCCATCACACCCATCCCATCAGCCACTTAGGCTCCAGACAGAAGCAAAAAGTTTCTCTTTTTCCTCTCCCTCTCTCCCCACTTCCATCCCAATCTCTTCTTCCATCCCTTGGTTTTAATTCCACTTTGATTTCTGGATGCGACTCAGGTAAGTTTTCACAAAGAAGTTGAGGAAGAGGGCCAATAAAGTGGTATACAAGCTCGATGAAAGGAGAAACAGTGGCCAGGAAGTTTGGCAGAGCTTATCGTCCTTCCAGAAGAAGATAAAGATGTTCATTATTACAAATCCTGTAATCTGCACGATCTGTGAAATGGTGATTAGCCTGGTGATGGAGTGGGGTACCCGGATGCCCATGGCTGCCACAGCGTAGTACAAGTACATCACAAAGTGGATACTGAGGTTTAAGGCTGTGTTCCACCCTGCCCCAGCTGCCATAATCTTATAGCCATACCAGGATAAAATTGTTGTGGCCATATGGTGGTACCAGTGGAGGAAGATGAGCTTCTTTTTCCGGAGAACAATGAACAGAGTGTCACCTGGGGTTGGGGAAGAGGTATATCATTAGTCAGGTGAAAGCACAGCCCTTGCACAGGTTTTCACATGAAACAGACCAAGCAAGCTTCAATGCTGAAGCCATTACGTGGTTTGATCCCACCAAAGCCTAGGTTCCCACTGAAATCATCTGTATTGAAGAGCACCATTTAGGCACCCTATCTTCTGGCATGTTTGGAGTATAGGAGCCTCTTGCCCCAGGCTTGCTTTCCCAGATCTACCTGCACTGCATTTCCAACTGACTCCTCTTTACTTCTTTTCATGAAAGCTGTGTGGAAAGCCCAGCCCTCCCTGCCTGCCTGCTGCCCCCTCGCCACAGTTGTTCCAGTGCAGAATTGCCTAGTCCAGCCTGGGGATCAAACTCAAACAGTAACATCAGGCTGCAACCCCGTGGAGAGCCAGCATATCATCTGAGTTGAGCAATAGGTAGCAAGAAAACGAGTGACACATGCAAGGCTAAGCAACCCTTTTCTCCAAGTAACACTTGGACAGAGACCGCTAAAAGAAAAATCTGCTTGTAAAAGCAAAGCAATTATAAACACACAGGATAAGGAGAAGTTTCAGACTCACCCATTTCAATGAGTTTGCTCAGTGCAAATAGATATATCCAAAGCTTGGTAACAGGGTGGACATAAAAAGATTGACTACACACTGATTGCTTAAATCCCTTGGTAAGGAGGAGGAAGGCCATCTGCTTCCAGATCCGATAGGCTCCAATGAGACTGCAAGAAAACCAGAGGAGAGCTGAACACTGTGCCCAGGGCCTCAACATAGCCTCTGACAGCTCTGCACCCATGGATATTTAGTTGACTCCATCTTGATGCTCAGGTCAATCTCAGAGACATTTAAACAGACCTTTGCCTTCTTAGACTTCCTAACAAGTTTTAGCCAGGATTTAAAATCTATTCCTGCAAGACAAAACAGCATCGAAGAGTGCTCCCCTCAGGGAAGCACCCCCTGCTTCCACTGCTTGAAGAGGCACTTGAGCAAAAGCTGCCCCACCTGATGAGGAATGGAGGACTTTCCTGATGTCCTGCCTTTTGACATGGGCCCAGGGGACAGGGAGCACTTATAATCTGCTGTGGCAGGCAAATCCTACAGCTTATGAGAAGAAATACCACTTTTTCTTTGTTATCAACCTATTTCATTAGCACAAGTTTGTCTTTGAACAGACCATAAACAGCTATCCCCTGACCTCCCCTCTCCCACAACTTGTGATTTTACAGACCACTGCCATACTCTGCCCTGACAGAGGACAACCAGTGTCCCTTTGACCTTGTCAAAGCCAATTTGAGTTACAGAAGCAGTAGTCTAGTTTTTCTCTGTCCCACCAAACAGACAGAAAAAGTTGTGGAGATGAGGGGAATTTTCTAAAATTGACACATGCTAGTTTAAATACAGAGCATGGGCCGAAACATTTTCATGGCCACTGCAGGAAACTATTCAATAAGACTGGACAGTTTGAAAGCGCATTTTAGTTTAATTTTTTGTGCTTCTGTGAGTGCAGCAGAATTTTCCCCACTTCCTACACAACAGGATTAAAGAAATGGGGGAGCCGGGGGGTGGGTAGGGGAAGAGAACGAAATCTAAATTTTAAAGATAAATAGACCTCAAATCAAACTTTCAGTTGGCAGGCACCCTTTGAATGAGGGAAGATGTCTGCTCTTGCAGGCTTCACATTCAAATCTACCCACAAATGATTTTCAAGCACTCTCCCCAGAGATCCTTTTGCATCTCATTCTTGCTGAAATATTTCTGGTGAGAAATAAATGAGTTGTATAAGCAGGTCACTCCCCTAGTTGGAAAGGGCCTTCAAGAGGAAAAATTTAATGTATTTCCCTAGTGATGCAGTGGATAACCAGAACTTTGCATCAGTCCAGTTCTGAGGAAGGGTCTACAGCTGTCTCCAGATTTAACAAAGGCTCTTACCTGAACAAAGCCAGGCTGAAGGACCAGAGGACCAGTGGTCCCCGCAGTTTGAAGGGTCTCCGTTCCTTCATGAAATGCTGGATTCCAAATATCACGACCACATAAATAACAGAAAAAATTAAAGACTTTTGCCTGCAAGTAGAGAAGAGGGAACAGTCAGGAAAAGACCCAAATTGACCTATTTTTACCCAGAGTTCTGTAACCCCAGCAAAGTACTCTCAGCAAGAAACAAAAGATCTCCCATTCTCATGTTAAAGTTGGGTTCAGTCACAAGAAAGCCTGCCCTGACACTAAGTAAGCAAGAACCCTGGGGACTGCACAAAAGAAAGTGAACTGCTACATCATGGAGACTACATCCACAAGCCTTTGGTGGGATGAGGCAGGTTCTGGTAGCCTGTGAGCAGGATCCAAAGCAAACACATCAATGCATCATCTTATCCCTTTACATGTGAGACTCTACAAGCACAGGATGTCTAAAAAGGCCAGTTTCATGTCAGCTGGAACCCCAAGTGCCCTGTGTTTTATCCCACACATTCCAAGGCATTAGTGCAGCATGGCAGGGCTGAGTACCCTATTTGGCAGTGCAAGGGCTCCAGTGGCCGTCCGCGGATGCTCTTTGCCCTCCTGCCACATCACCGTCTCCCTATGAGCTGCAGCCCCACCTGCACCACTGTTTGCTCTGCACATGTACTGCTGCACCCCATCCTCCACAGCCTCAGGTATGCAACTAGAGACCCCCAGTCTTCTCCTCCTCGGAACTGAAGATCCTCACACTTGCTCTGCTAAAAGCAGCAGGACCCGATAGGGCTACCTCAGGTCTGGAATGCACCAGGTCAACAACCTCTTGTCCTGTTCCTCTCCCCTCACCAATTCTCCTCCATCCATTTCCTGGCTGCCCCGTGATTAAAGTTCTTCTCGAAGTCATACTCCCCCAGCGGCTGCAGCTCCGACGGGTCAATGTTCGCTTCCATATTCAGCATCCCCGGGAGCGACGCGAAACGAGTGACTCCCGCACGCTTCACGGTGGATATAGTCCAGGGAATGCGCTCCGCCCCAACCTCGCACCGCGGCGGGAGGCGGGACCGGGAGCCGCCCGGTCCGACGGGGAACCGGAGCCTCCCACTCCTTGTGCTGGGTAAGGAGCGGGGAGGCTCTGGTCACCCAGGCAGGCTGACCGGGAGGTCCTCCCGTTCCCCATCCAGCCCAGCTCATCCCTCAGCAGATGGGCAAGGTGATTCCAACACTGTCACCAGCAGCAGGTAGAAATTCCATTACCCTGACTGCAGTTAACTGTTGTGCCTTCTTCACCATAGACTGAAGCATCTGGCAGCTGCTGGAGACTAGATGGGTTCTGGATAATCTCCTACTGAAGTTCCTGCAGCTGAAAATTGCTCCAGCACAGTCAAAACCCCCTGAATGCAGCATGCCTCATTGCACCCTCTGGTCGCTTATCCTGGTGTCTCTCCCAAGTGCCATGTCTTTACACAGGTGCAACACCTGCACCCTGCAAAGCTCACAGACTAGGAAGGGGTTTGCTTCATGCAGGCATCACTGCGCCTGTGCACAAGTCATCTGCTTAACTGCTGCCTCTTCAAACAGGAGAACATTTGCCTAGGTGAGACATTTCATAGGATTGTAGAATGCTTTGGTTGGAAAGGGACCTTAAAGATCACCTAATTCAAATCCCTTTGTCACAGGGAGGAACATCTTTCACTACACCAAGCAGCCCAAAGCCTTATCCAGCCAGGCCTTGAACTCTTCTAGGAATTGGGCATCTACCATTTTCTCTGTATTTGACAATGTAGTAGTGTGAGAAAATCAGGAAAGAATTCGACATGTAGGAATTAAAATCCCTTGGTGATTTTTGCACCACCCCTGACTTACACTCTCCATTTTGCAGAGCATTTGCATGTATCTGTGGAAAGTTCAGCTTGCACATGTCAGCAGCAGTGGTTTTACCATACCCCACACTGGGAAAACACCCTGTACATAGCATGAGCTCCCACTGTGCCTTGCACAGCTCTCTCCTTAGTGTTTCCAGCACCAAGGATGTCCTTCCCCTTCCAGAGGACTGCAGGTCAGGGATTGTGCAGTCTGCATTCTTGGGTCACTTGAGTCTTTCATCTTTTATCACCTACTTTGGGCAGTAGCATCATCGGGCAGAATATTCAGGTACATGCTGGAGGAAACTTCCATCTGTTGCAAGGGCTTCTGCACACCACAAGAACAGGTGCAACCACCAATAAAGCCAAGGGTAAGAGCAGAGAAGAGGCAGCACAGTAACACAAACTTTTTGCACTTCTAATGCATACCAGTCAATGTTCATTCTTATTATTCAGCAGCAAAGCCATGTTGGGAGCCTTACAAATTTATCCCTCTGTATGATCTTGACAATGGTTTCACTGTTGCTGACTTACCTGCATATTGTCTGTGGAGTCACTGTTCTTAGATGGAGTATAGTCGTTAGCTATTTGATGCACTACAAGTACAAAATACCTGCTTTTTTGACCTATGCTTTAGCAACTGTTAAACAAGGCCTCCTTTACATAAGATACCATACAAGAAGAGAAGAAAACCTTTAAATACCTGTTGGGAGATGCAAGAATGAGTTGGATTAGCTGAGTAGAAAACATCCTGATATTGACATAATTTCTTATTCCTAATCTAGTTTTAGGTTCAGTAAAGTTTTCATTTTGAAACTGTTTCATGCCACATGAACAAGAGCAATGCCTCTCCTAGGGCAGGTCTGTCCATCCATCCCTTAGGTGGTGGCATGTACAGTTACAGGAGCAGCTCATGACACTGCAGCTCTTTGGTACCACCTGAGCAGGCAGCTCACCATAGAAGAAGAGAAAAATACCTGTTGGGAGATGCAAGGATGAGTTGGATTTGCTGAGTAGAAAACATCCTGATATTGACATAATTTCTTATTCCTAATCTAGTTTTAGGTTCAGTAAAGTTTTCATTTTGAAACTGTTTCATGCCACATGAACAAGAGCAATGCCTCTCCTAGGGCAGGTCTGTCCATCCATCCCTTAGGTGGTGGCATGTACAGTTACAGGAGCAGCTCATGACACTGCAGCTCTTTGGTACCACCTGAGCAGGCAGCTGGAAACCCTCCCCAAGTGTCTCCTTGGCAGATGGGAACACATGTAAAGAACAGAAGCAGATAGCAGGGGTGAGGCTCTTAGCATCCTCTGGCACACATTTCTTGCTTAATAAGGCAGGCTTTGTCGCAGACTGAAGGCTCACCTGCACAATCCAGATGCAGTTGTGACACCGTTGTTATCCTCTTTTCTCCCTGCTGTCAATACATCTGTCTGCCCTGCTGGATCTGGGTGGATTAGCATGGAGAGAGCTGCCAAGCCCAGTGCCTGGTCACTGGCACTGCTCAGAAACACTGCTGGACTCAGAAGGCTTTAGCAGCTGACATGCAATATAGACATCAGAGCAACACATGAATATACAGATGAGCTTATTTTCACACATCACAGTGAATTGCACAGAACTCAGCCAGTGCAGGTGAGGAAGTGGAGCCCCAGCAAGACTTCACAGAGCAGGAACATCAGGGCTGCAGTCCTGATTCAGTGGGAGAGGAGAACTTCATTCTTCTGTCCTCCAGCTGAGTGGGAAGGAGACAGAGACCCTATGGAACAGAAGCCTCCATGCCTTTATTTTGAGTCCAAAATGGCTAGGTAGGACCTCAAAGAGAAAGGACAATTTTGTGAGGACCATGAAATAACATGTGGATCCTTATGGAGAGCTGGGTCCCATTAGACTGCTTCTACAGCATTCCAGAAATAATTCTTCTTTGAGGTAGACCCAAATAGATTAAATTCTCACTTAAAGATTAAATTGCTATTTTCAATAAGAGTTTTAGTTTTCTAGTAAAGATTCACTTTTTCACCAATACATGTGAAGAGAGAAGTAGTTTCTGATGTGGTGACTGAGCATCACCTACATCTTATTTGCCCTGTGATCAAGAGTACAAGAAAATTGATTTTTGCAAAAATATAACATTTTTAATCCCAAGTCTTAAAATTAATTTCCTGTAACAGAACAGTAAACAACAAGTAGACTACTTGGGTAGTAGATACCACATTTGCCTCCTGTCAAGACTTGAGAGAATGAAGATATTTGTGAAAGACTGCAGGCACCATTCAAAATGAGTAACAACATGCCAAATCCTGGTACGATCCAAAGCACAGGAATTGATTTCTAGAAAGACAGAGTGCATAATCTCTTTTTGAAGAATACTACAAATTAACAAACCCAAAAGATAAAGGACAGCAAGTATTTCAGCTCCCTAGCCTCACAGATCAACCACTTCCATAGCAAGCAGCACAAAAAAAGATGACACAGAGAAGTCTGTAGGACTTAAACATAGTGGCAGGAGTCAAGAGAGCAGCTACAATAACTAGAATGGGGCAAAACATTATAACACCATGGGCCAGAAGCAATGTGGTCGCTAAAGCCTTCAAGTGCCTGTTGGCTAGGTGACTGTCACTGTACTACCACCGGCTACCTGCCAGATCCACACAGGTGGGGACAGCGAAACAAGGAGGCAGAGCTGCTGATTTAAAAAAAAAAATAGTTCTGGGTGTAATATGCAGGTTCAGATTGCCCTTAAATATGAGACACCTGACATTCTGCAGGACAAGAGCACACACAGAGTCAGCCTCACCAAGCTGGGCCTTGCTGGCCTGAGTTACACTGCCTCACCAGTGCAGAGCACAGAGAGGGTTTTTTTGCCCAGGAGACAAGGCTATTGCACATAACCACCTCCAAATCAGTTTGTTGTACTGTCTGTGATTGTTACTTGTGATTTGCACATCAGAGCAGTGAAAGCCATGGAGGAATCTCCTTGCACAAGCACCGCAAGCTTTCATCCAAGCTTAGGATAATGACCTGATTCCATATGACACTCCTGACTGAAGAGAATATGACTTCATATATGGGACCTCCCAGGGCAGCTTTTTCACCAGACTGACCACACTATCAGGGAACAATCTTTGTGGTTTTGATCAAAGTATCTTTTAACTCCTTTGGCACCAACAGAAGTGGCATGGCAGGTAAGGCATGATTTTACATATATTGCAGTTTGTTTTAATTAGGTTTAATAGGTAAGAAGAAATTGTAAGGATATGGAAACAAACATTCTCTCCTGATTGATTCCCTAACTTTGGAAAGCAGCCTAGTTTTAACAGATATTGCAGCAAAGAAGTTGACATAAAGTGCTGGGGGAGTTACCCTGAGGTGTGAAGCTTACACTCAGCTAACACAAAACTTATGCCCACACAAGTGGTGAAACTGTGGAACAAATTGTCCAGAGAGATGGTAGATGTCCTGTCTCTCAAAACATGCAAGGCTGAATGGGGCTCTCAGCAAGCTGATGTAACAAAGATGTACCTACTAATTTCAGAGGGGCTGGGACTGTATGATGGGTCCCTTCCAAACCATTCTATGATAACCCCTGGATACACAAGCTGATGCAAAATGAGATATTATTTACATTTTCTCACACTTCGTAAGTGGGCAGCTCTGAAAAGCTTTTGTTTAGAAAGGGCAAGAGCAAGTAATGCAGCACAATAAATAGCATAGCTATTTGAAAACCAAAGCCTCAAGCACACAAATTTTTGCAAAGATTGAGGCTTCATAACAACCAGTCTGCAGAAGATTATTAATAGCTGGCTTGGGTAAAACCCAGGCAGTTGGCATCACTTGTTCCAAGGAGAAGAAAGAGTTGCAGTGCAAGTATCAGAGGCAAAGTGTTGGGAGGTAGGCAGGAGACACTGACTCAGGGAGGACTAAGACCTGTGCAAATTTACTGATTTGCCTTCACTGCCTTGCTTTGTTTAGTTTACCTACAACCGTTTCTCTCAGCCACCAAGGCACAGGTGCATTCCTTTGGAGGTGTAAGGGAACACAGGGATAAACACCTGCAATCAGAGCTGCAGGAGAAGCTGTGGGAGACCCCATCCCAGTGCTGGGCAATGGTGAGCGTGCCTGCACATGAGGCTCGATGCCTCACAGGTCTGCCAGCACAGGGCACCCTCTGGCATCAGCCACCACAGCCTGTGACACCAACGTCTCCACCAAGGTGGTCTCAGATCTTTGGCCATTAGAGGGGAGCAAACACTGCAAAAGTGCAGGGAGGCATCACCTCCTGAACAGAGAGCTGAAAGCAAGAGCAGGCAGGAGGTTTGACTGCCTGGAGGTGTTAGCTGTCCTCTCCTGGGGAAACATGCCCTCGGGCCCAGGGTGAAGAGAGGATCCCCTGCTGTTTGCAAGCAGTCCATGTGTCTTCCTTCCACTTCCCCAGCCTCAGATGAGTTTCATTGCCTTGCAAGAGTCACCCAAGCAGGCTGGTACAAATAGTTTGGGGTTTAACAACTGCACGGTATGAGAGGAAACAATCCTTCCTTGCAGCTTCCTGCATGACGTTTGACTAGAGACGATTAAGAGACACAGCTCAGCAACAGCATCTCTTGTTTGTACCCTGGCAAAATACAGCCATAATCAGCAGCCCTTGTATCTGTGTCAGACCTTCATTCTACAGTGTTTGGGCACGGTCCTTCTCAAGGATGCGTGTGATGATCAAGAAATTTGGGCATTTGAGAACAATTTTGCATAGGGCAAGACAAGTATTGTCCCTTCATGCATGCATACATACATACTTTTAAAGATGCCTTTTGGGGAACACACTAGATGTGTCTGTCTTCCCTCTGCCATGCAAGACAGTGTTTTCCAAGCATGAAAAAAGACCCAAAGCAATGGGAATATGAGGCCTCTCAGAAGGGACTACTTGGAGTCCTTACTAGTGGCCAAGTTATTTTTTGCTCTCTGACCTAGTTGCTCTAACCACTTTGAAAGATCTTTAAATAAAAAAATAACAAAGGAGCTAAGAGTTAAACATCCTAAGGGGTAAACAAAATGGTGGTGACAGCAGGAGCTATTAACCCAAAGATGTCATAATCTTCAATGACCCTTCATGAGAATGCTATCAACTCTAAGCTAAGGGTTACAAATGCCATGTAAAACATCCATGATGCAAATCACCTCTAAGCAGCTCTTTTGTCAAAACCCTATAATTTATGAATCCTTTTGCTCTCTAAAGTCTGTAAGTAGGCCCACTGCTGTTTGGAAACTGATTAAAACAAGTACTTTGAGTGGGCAGCTGGGTTTTTACCTAGAGTTATGTCTTCAAGATCTGTTTGGAAAACAATAGTTGGATACATATACAGAATCCAGAAAACCTGAGATTAGCAGAGAACCAATGCATGTACAAAAATCCAATTGGATTACTTCTGATTAAGATCAAAGGTGTCCTTTGAACAACCCAATCAACTATGCCTTTATCACAGAAGTGTCAAAGCTCAGGCAGACTTTAAGAACACCCATAAGCATTCATGCACATACCTATTTGGGTTTTCTGAAGCGTTCTTTAGAGAGAGACTTTGTACAAACATTCAGCATTTCTCAACAAGAACTGGTCCTGTACCTTAAATCAGAGTAAAATAAACCACATGACAATAACAACATTATTGCATTGATGAAATTGCCAATGCAAGCTGTTGCCTACACTGATCACGGTGTGTAAGAGCTCTCCACCCTGCATTCTCAAAATACAAAGCACCTTCTGCTTTGATAAAATAAGCAAAATTGCCCCAGAGTCATTCACACCCAGACTTTGTCAATGGCTTTATGTTGGCCCCTCTCCATTTAATCATTCTTGTGCTCCAGCCCCCAGTTGGATCATCTGCTGTCATAGTTAGCAGAAGTTACACCAACACCAGACATGCACAGAACATCACCTCTTTCCTCTGGTTGAAGTCTATCAAGACTGCAGAGTCCAAGTAAATTTGCCAATCCCAGACAACATTGAGACCACAAAACCAAAACTTAGCACTTTGCTTTGTAGAATGCCCTGGCTACAGAAGTGGGACTAAAATGCTATTCCAGCAGAAAGTGCTTGTTTCTGCCTTTTAACAACACTAAACTAATCAGCATTCATTCTACTTGGTTTTGTCTGGAGACTAATTTGATCCCCAGTAAAGCTTGGATTGCTACCACCAGTTACTTGCCTCTTTTTGCAGAACCCCATTTGGAACATCTTTGGAAAGCCCTGGTAGTGAGAACCCACACTCCTTTACCCAGATCAGAACTAATGCAGTTAGAGGACTCCTTGGTTAGCAAGGTATGACCTGCAAGGAGAAGAATCTTCAAGCTTTTTTGGCATTTGGGATTTTTCCAACTGATTTGTTACAAAACTTACTGTAATGCAACTTCCCTGATCAGACCCAACCTCTTCTTACAGTAGAGGTGCTCACTTCTTTTGCTACTGAGCAGTCCTGACAGAAGGTGGACAGGATGTAATCCAAACACCCAATTGCCAAAGGTGTCTCCACGCTGCCCAAAAGGCCTGCAGTTGTTTCTTCGGTTCCTCCCCACTTCATAATCCACACAGGCAGGGTTTTTTAGATCAGCTTTTACCAGTTTTGTCTTTTATTCTTGCCAAGCTTTTTAGTTTAGTTTTAATAAAAATTAGCAATTCAACCTTCCTTTCCAGTTAGTTTAGCTTTTAAAAAGACTGTTCTTAATGACAGTCCATGTAGATCATGGGTGATTCAGGGCATAGCCTTTAATACTTCCTTGCCTAGAGCCCAAAATCCAGTATTACCACTGCCTGAACTGACAGATGACCTTACCCAAAGCTTTGCAGGAAGGGCGCTGAAGCTCAGCTCCATCCAAAGCATCTGTTGAACTCTGTTGGCATTATAACACAGGGTTTACAATTTGCAGAATGTGTAATATTGTGGTTTTTTCTTTTTTTCCCCAGCAAGATACAGAGGCTAATCTGTGTTGTTTTCAAGAATGCTTTGGATATTGTTTTTCTGTTTATTGATGTACTTTTCTAAAAGCAAACATTACCTATGTGGGGTTTCCATTGCCCTTGTGAACCTTACCATTCTGCTTTCAATAACTCTTCCAACCTTCCTTGGGTTATCTTGGCTTTCTCAAAACCAACTTCCTTTGAACTACAGATACATGGTTCTGCATATTGCTATAACCACACTTATCTCTTCCCACTCACGCAGGATCCCTCTGGTTTTCCAGGATTGCTAATAATCAAAGAAAACTCAACTCTGCAAAGCTCTTTACTAAAATAGCTGAGTTTTACATCAGCACATGGTTTGATCTTGGAACAACTTACCTTATAGAAACTCTTATAACTGAGTTCAAAGGAGACAGGATTAGGTTAGTCAACAACATCACTGCTATAGCACTAGCGCAGATATTTCACTAAAAATAATTAAAAAATCTTCTTTAAAAACATTGCTACACAGCCATTCCTACTATGGACACCACAGAGAGTAGGATTCAAAGGAGACAGGATTACATTAGTCAACAACAGCATTGCTATAGCGCTAGCACAGATATTTCACTAAAAAATAATTAAAAAGTCTTCCTTAAAAACATTGCTACACAGCCATTCCTACTATGGACACCACAGAGAGTAGGTGTAAGAACTTGAAAAATAACCAGGTCCAGCTGCATCCCACCCAGAATCTTTTATTTCAGCAGGTAGGGTGGTCCTGATGTGGGTAAAGAAGCTCAGCTGGAGAGGGGAAGCACCTTAGCAGCAGTCCTGGAAAAAGAGGGAAGAGGCTGAGAGAGAAGGGAGGAGCTTCCTGTATCCTGAGATATTTGTCAGCTGTTTGGAGTAGATGACTGCCCTCAGCTGTCCTGGAAGGTATAGTGCCCAGCTCCTGGCTGGTGTGTAATCTCTCCTTGGTGTTTGCAGGGATTTGGGAAGCCCTTCCAAAAGCACAGCTTGGGAGGGACTGTGGGCATTTCTGCTTTTTGAGACCATGCCTCACCTGAGTACCTGGGAGAAAGCTGCTTTCCACTGCAGTGCCTTCAGGACTTGCTGTGCAGTTCTGTTTGCCATGACACAGCCCTAAGGTGGCCCTGGTGGGGACAGAGGGACTAGCTTGCTCCAGCAGTGCTCTCAGTGGCAAATGGCCACGGCTGGGCTCTGGGGACTTACAGGGCTTGACTCCTTGCCTTCGCCTGTGGGAAATATTTGTAACCTGGAAGCACCAGAGAAAAGCAATGCCCACACTCTCAAGAGCATCAGGGAGGTGCATGGGGGCCATGAGGGAGATACCCACGGGCAGAGATGAGAGGCTGGGCTGAGCCGTGCACAGGCCAAGGGAAGGGATTCCTGCCACGGAAGTGCTCTTTGATTAGTGTCATTAAATGGTGGGTAAGTAAAAATCATCCTCTTCAGGCTTTCCACTGCCAGATGGAGCGATTTCACACTCACCTGCAGAGGGAGACAGTCCTCTTTATTAGCCAAATTTTGTTGACACGGTTTGGTGGCTCCACCTTACTAGGCTGGAAAAACCAGATAAGGGATTGATGTGGCTGTGGCAGCCCACAGTCGGATTCTCCCATGGAGATGCTGCCAGGGGTGTGCGGGGACCCTTCCCAAGCCAGCACTGGGGCTGGAGCAGCAGTAGTTTATGAGCTGGTTGCAAAGTCCTGCAGGGCAGCAGCCTCCGAGGCAGTGCCAGGCCCCGCAGCAGTGCTGCAGCTGGGCTGAAGAGAGGGGTCACAACAGGAGCCATGCCAGCGAGTGGCTTCACCCCCTCCCTGTTCCCCACCAGGAGCTGCCCCCGGCCCAGGGTCTGGGCAGAGCTGCACAGCCATCACCTGGAACACGCATTCATTTGCAAACTCAAGCCAGCACGGCTCGCAATCACAGGGCTGCCATGCCTCATGCAGAGAAGTTTGGTGCGGAGCTGTGGGGCCGGGTGAACCTGAAAAGCTGGCTGAAGCGTCCCCGAACACCTCGGGGCCTGCAGGGAGAGCCGCCTCAGCAGCGAGGCCGGGGTGCTGCGGAGCCGGCTCCTGATCCCCCTGCCCTGCCGGCAGCGGGCACAGGACACAGCTCTGCCCGTGCACAGCTGGGCTCGCAGCTCTGGGTGAGGCTTCTTCAGTCCTCTGCAAAGCATTGACTCATGTCCTACTTTTCCTCGAGGCGAAAGAGGAAAAAAAAAAAAAATCTTGCTCCCTGCTTGCTGCCTCATAAACTGCAGTTTCAATTTTTTAATTTCCCAAGTTACACCACAGCCCTGCGTGCCTGTCTCAGTACCTGTGGCAGGGAGGGCGTTTAGTAACTGCAGGCACTGTGCCCAGAGATCAGGCACCAAGCTGAAGGCAGAGCTGCATGAAGGATAAAGCTCACCTACATCCCTTCCCCCACCATGGCTTTTAATTTGTGTGACAGGCTACTCATTATTCCTAATTTAACTTAATAACTAGCTTAAGCCCTTGTTATACTTTTCTTCTGTATTAAATACTGAAAGAATAACAAGGAGAAAAGAGAGAAAGCTATGTGTTTACTAGGAAAAGATTTACAGAGGACAGAAATAAAGCTGGAAAAGCTAGAATAGCCTTCATCTTCAGTGAGTATATCTAAATACTTTTATAAAATCACCTAATAACTTAGAGAATGGCTCCTGACAGTTTCTAAGACAGAACACAGATTTTCCTAGGGAAGATTCTTTACTTCAGGGATGCTTTTTGAATGTCCACTTCTTACTCACAAGGGCAGGTTAGTGCTTTACTCCCTTAGAAATAGTTGCCACAGAATTGTGGAATAATTTTCAAATAGACTATATAAGCCTTAACTCCCTGGATAGACCTGCCTAACTCTGCAATACCTTTGGGAATGAAAGCAGCTGTAAGAAGTTCAAAAAGTTAAGAGCATATCTGATAGGAGACAACACGCTAATGCTGCACGTGGTGCTTGCTTGGGCTTTTTTCTGAAACTGTGAATAGCAAGAAGGAAGCATAGGAAAATAGATGCACATTTTTGTAAGTCCACACAAGGCTCTTGGGGCTCAAATGCTTCTCTCTTCTTTTCTGCTTGCAACCAAAGCAACTTACAGGACTCTGTCCTCATCAGGCCATGGTGCCTCCAGTTTGCAAACATGGTGTGTTTGTCTTCTCCCTCTTTTTTTTCCCAAGTTCAAAACAATCCAACATTGTCACCAAGCCACAAAAGCTTGCCAACTCTCTTGCCATGTTCAGCCTAATCTAAATATCCAAACTCTCACGTAGGCAGCAGTAATGATCTCCTTCTTCCACCTCAGAGATGAAAAAATGCCCCACCTCCACCCCCTTGTCCTAACTCATCTGCTAGGAGATGACAACAAGGTCACCATAGTGCAACTGGAAACAGGTAGGAATGCTGAAAATTTGTGGCAATATCTCTTTCTTAATCTAAAAATAAATGCCAAATCCAAACCTTTTAATTTCAACTTGCAGACAGAAAGGTGCCAGGCAGACAGTGTTCCTATTACTTATCTACAATGCCCACTTTCCCCCTAATATCTGTCAGCACCTTCCTCTCATCTCCCTCTTCCTGCCATTAGGAAACTACTAGGCCACGCATCCTCAGCTCAGAGGGCATGAAGCCACAAAGAGCTGCTAAAGAGCAAGGCTGATAGATCATCCAAAGTCACCTTAACCTTAGCCCCTCTGCAAGCTGAGGGTTGGGGAAGGAAGACAGCACTGCCTGGCTTCAGAAGACCTCCCAAGTCAGAGCCAGGCACTATTCCAACCTGGAACAGCCCAGGAGCCCAGCCAAACTATTGTTTCACAGGTTGCAGTAAAAACATCTTTCATCTGGGAAAAGCCCCCCATGGAACAGCAAGCAAGAGCAGAGCCTAGAGCTGCCAGCGAGGGCAGCTGTGGCAGTGAGGTCACTCTCCAGCTCCTGGGAGCACTGCAGTGGCCCCAGAGGGAGCACGGAGCAGAGCCCTTGATCCTCAGTGTGGGCCACTGGCAGTGGGCCCATCGGACAACGCTGTGGGCAGGTTGTGCAACTGCACCCCATGAGGTTTGTCTTAGAGTCCAGGGTGGGTAAAAACACATCAGGTATCACTCCATACCATGGCCCAAGTAGGGCAACAATATTGTCTGTTCACATGGGAATGAGGAGAGCCTGCTGCTTCTATAAATGTGGTGTAGGGCCCATTGCCATGACCAACTCTCTGAGCTATTGGCTGCTGATCCTGTGGTCCTGGAACTTGCATCTGTTCCAGATTTCTCTCATCACATGTTTGGAGATGCTGTGGGCATGGGTGTGTGCCACATCAAAATAGAGGAAGGACGGCACTGCATGAAAGCCTGCAGAAAGGTGAAAAAATTGCTGATGGAGGTACGTGGAGAGCATAGCAGCAGTGATGGGAAGGAAAAAGCACTTTCATCTTGCTTGAAAAAAATCCTGTTGTAAGAATCACAGGTTCACATTAAACCAAGACCAGAGAACTGCCACACAGGAGAAGGAATATAAGTTTATTTTTAAAAATAATAATTTAGCTCAAACACAAACGGGATTGCAGAGTGTTGACCAAAGGAGGAAGAACAGTATTTAGCCACAGAACTTAAAACAGACCAATTTTTCTCTCTTGTAGAGGATACTTTCAGTGTTCTTCCTTGTCCACAGCTCTGCTTAAGGATCTCATTTGCACATAAAGGTATCCTGACTACTGGGGCTCTTCATAACAAGGCAGAGGAGAAATGGTGTCTGCTGCATATGAAATGCTGTTCCTACCTCCAGAGCCTCCATGATCCAAAAAGCCAGAAGAGCAACACCAGCATCTAAACCAATGTGCAATACAAAGGGAACAACTTGCACTCCTCCCTGGAAGTCTACCTACCCATGCCCCATTCCCAGCGTCCTGGCCAAGTGCTCCCACCCACGCCTGAATTCACCCCCCCGCCCACAGGTGCTGTACACAGAGGTGTAGACACAGGCCTTTGCAATACTCCTCCCTCCCCGCTCTCTTCTCATCCAGACCTGCGGATCTTTTGCCTCTCTCCGTGCCTGCATGCCATACATTTCTTGGCACAGCAGCAGTTCATTTCACAGTGATGGGATATGCCCTGGAACACACCGGCCACTACTGCAGTTTTTTCTCATCTGTGAAGTGGCCTTTCATGCAATTGCCATTCTGATACACAGGGCTGGCCCCCTTCCTTCTGCACCACAGCACAGATTTGTAGAGAGCAAATCCAATACCAGCCAGACACAGCAAGAGAAGAGCCAGTATGTCCAGGCAGAAGTACTCATAGAAGGAAAGGTCGTAGACAGCCGGGCGAAGGAAGGGTGCCCCGTCGTGACGCAGGACGTACTCCAGCCAGTACACTGTCCTGTTGAGAGCGTGCATCGGTCTGTCCAGGTGCAGAGCTGAGATGTGCTGGGCTGCTCTTCTGTAGCTGCAAGGGAAGATGACAAGACATTTACCTTTCGACAGAAACTTCATACCTG